GAAAAATAACACCAAACTTTAGGACAACATTTATAAAGTATGAAATATTTGAGATATATTAATAATTTTTAACAACCTAGGGTCAAAACATAATACTGAAAATGCTTTGACTTTTAAAAAAAAAAAAAAACTTTAACACCAATAGATTCTTCCAGTTTTTCTAGTCAAACTCAATCAAATCCATTTTTTATCTGATTTGACTGAATTTCTATCTATCCATTTTTTAGGATAATTCAGACTAGACATTGGCCGATTTTCAGTTCGATCGATCGAACCAAGAGGTCCGGTCCAAGTTTAAAAACATAGATGAAAAAGACACGAAGAGATAATGCTCTTAGAAGTGATACTTCAGAGGTCTAGCTCATTTGGTCCATCGACTGGATGAGGTTGGACAAGTGTATTAGGAATATACATGAAAGGGCTTCGTTGCATTTTGGGCTATATTAAACTAAGATTGGGAACTGAAATTGTCTTTTCGTATTGCCACATAGATCGGATATTCAAGTTGAATGTCATTACCCTCAAAAAAAAAAAGTTGAATGAATCATTGGACATCATTTTCGTGATTTTAATAATGGCTTAAGTCAAAAGACATGTAGTATGCTGACTTGGCAAGAGTTTTTTTTTTAACCTCTTCTATTTTTTTCGTTTGCGAATGAAACCCTCGCTATCACAAATTATTACATAAACCGTGCCACTTAGACAGACCTTAGGCAGGTACCCCCAAGTGCAATGAGGTGGCTAGGCTTGTCAACGGGTCGGGTTTGATCGAAACTGAAAATTCTGAACCCAACTCGTTTTTATGTAGTAAATCCAGACTCGAACCGTATACCCAACGGGTCTTGATCTTAGAGTTTTGGAATTGGGTTCGACGGGCTGAGTCGGATCTAGGTCTATTCGAAAAAAAAATTCAAAATTTAAACATTTTAAAATTAAATCCAAAACCAATTAAAATCCATCTCCAAAATTAAACAAATCAAATTACAAACTAAATCACAAATAACTCAATAGTCAATACAAAACTAACCACAAATCAATCTACAAAATCATTACTAAATTGTTAATTTGGTAAAAGAATGTATTTAGAAATATTTATATTTTATAATTATTAATATATTGTTTGGATCCGGGTTGGAATCCTATATTCCGTATCCAACCTATTTTTTGTTAAAGTAAACGGATCCGGGTATCGGAATTATTTCTCAACCCATATTCGGAAAAAAATTATCGGGTGAGCCGAGTTCGGATCCAGACTTGGCCCATTGACATTGACACCCTAGAGGTGGCCAACCTAGGCCATGGGCCTTTTCTATCACCCATTGGCCCCATTTAGATAAGTAGGGAAGACTTTTTTTTTTTTTTTAATAGGGCACAAATGAGAAACAAAAGCAATTTTAACACATATAAAAGTATTTGGGAAGAGAAGGAGAATAAATATACAAAAAAAATTTAACTATTTATTAACTCAAAACTCAATCATGGCAATATCAAATTGTAACTTTTCGCTTGCAACAACTTACGAATCTAAACTATGAGACTTTCCCTCAAATTTACTCTCAAAACTCGACTCAATTTTTCAAGTAATAATCTACTACTCTAGTAGTATTTATGCATTGTTAAACTTATTAAACAAATACAGTTATAAACCGAAACTTATTTGGAACTGATTTGAAATCTCCTAAACCAATGTGGGAACTAAACAAACAAGACACCGAAACAAGAAACTAGAAGAATTAGAAAACTAAATACTAAGATAGTTGGGTTTAATTTCCTTTATTGCCTTCCTTAAACCATGCTCATTATTGTGCTCACCTCCAATGTCATTTCGAGCTTGAATCTCTATGAAAAGCTCAGTTGCAGTAGACACAACAGTTGACTCCAACTTATGATTGATTTTAGTTTCATCTTTGCACGTAACAGTGGTCGAACTTATACTTTTTGAACAATTTCTTACCTTGATCACTTATGTCAAAAAAGTTAAACATGTTCATCCAAACTCCATTCATTACTCCACATCACCAAGAAAATTTCCCAACACTAGAAAATCATAGTTGCCACCTCCAATGTTTTTAACATTACCATATTTTTCCTTTAATTTTTTCACACTAACAATCACATCAATTTTAACAATCACATCTTTCGCTTCAAAAAATTCATCAACCACAATGAAATCAAAATTTCTCTCTTATCACAATCTTTAGTTACATTTTCCATATCACCAACGACTTCACCTTCTTTCTCAACCACATGTGAAATTTCCTTTTCAGCCACAAATTTTTCATCTTCACGAGTACCCATAATTTCTGCAATTTCTTCTTTCTTTGACTCATCAAAAAAAAAAAAAATTTCTCCTACCTCATCACAAAATTCTTCTCCACCATGACCATAGAAATTCATCAAAATTTTCAAACCTCCGTTGCTGTATTTACATCTATAAATTTTTTGGCTACATGCAATTGGACTTGGGTGTTGAGATATTGGAATGCCTTACAATCTAACTATTTATTCTTTTCTAACTCTTAAACAGCTTGATAATTCGTACCTTCTATAGGTTTCGTGAACCCCTTTTAGACAAAATCCCAAATTCAATAGCTTGAAATTTTTTTTTCATCAACCAACTCAAAATCTCAAAATCATTTTTGCCATCAAAAATAAAATCATCACAACATGATGAATAACATTGATCCATGCTTCAATTTCATGAACAAGCCCTAGAATCAAAGTCCAGACCTCTAATACTTTGTAGGAAAATAGCCCATAGGATAAATAATCAAAACAAATCACACACTCGAAGAAATAGCATGGCAGCGAAGTATTTATAAACAAACAAACGGACCGGGCTCAAGAAAGAAATGAAGGAAACTAATTCCTAAACTAATATGAAAACTAAACAAACAAGACACCAAAACAAGAAATTAGAAGAATTAGGAAACTAAATACTAAGATAGCTTGGTTTAATTTCCTTCAGTTAGTGAAACTAGTTAGGAAAGGAGTTTGGTAGTCATTCCTTTCTTATAGTCAATCTTTCCCTCTGCATCTCTTTCTTCTTCTCTCGTTCTGATCATTCCTCATTCTTGAACTAATTCTTTCCTTCACTAGTTCATTTTTCTCCCATATCAATACTTAATTTGGCTCCAATGTTTGAGTCCCTGATAGTTGTTGGTATGAAGCGGTTGACTCTGACTGCTTGAATACCCCCTGATCATGGCTGAAACTACTTGTTTTAAGTCTTTGAAGGAGCAGGTCAAGAAACAGAAGCAAGGTTGAGCAAGGCTCTGGCTTCCATAGGAAATTTTTAGCAGCAATTAGACTCCATGAATAATTTCCAGCAACATTTTAAAGATGAGTGGGAAAGTAATGGCAGGAGGATGGAGTCCATGATTCACAATGTGCATCAGAAATTCAGCTCCTCTACGATGGTGATGTCTCGTAAAGACAATCAGAAAGTGATCTGCGAAGAAGAAAATTTTGGGATTCCCACCTCCTAGAAGCAACAGAAGTTGCTGTCCACCAATGAGCCTGGGGCGACTACTAAGGAGAACTGGAGTAGGATTCCTTTTCCCAGTTACTCTTAAGGTTGAATTACCTATGTTCTTTGGGGATAATCTCAGGGAATGAGTCAGAAAATGCCATAAATTATTCTTGTGTTACAAATTTTTTAATGAAAATAGAATGAATGTGATTGGAATGTATTATGAGGGAATAACAGATAACTAGTTTCTGGGGGTCAAGATTGAAAAACCTAGCTAGTTTGTCTTGGAAGGAATTAAAGAACTATCGTGCACACATTTTTTGACAGAGGAAATTTGGAAAAATTCAAAAGTCGCAATAGATTGGAATTTTGAAGAATAACAAGAGAAGTTTGAACAGTTGAAAACTTTGATGCTCCTCAGGAGTAATAAGACTTAGTGAACGATATTCTGTCTCCAGTTTCATTAGCGGGCTTAGAGAAGAAATTAGGCACAGTCAAGATGTTCAAACCTGAGATTTTAATAGTAGCATTTGACGTAGACAGATTAGACAGGGGGTAGGCAGAATGTGGACTCCAGATTTGAATTATATAAAATCAAAATTGGCCATGGTATTGGAACTAATAGCTATAGGCTCCCTCATTATCGAGTTGAAAAAGAGCTTCTGCTAATTAGGATTCTAGTCCTAACATCATATAGAAAATTTCACCATCCAATACCAGAGGAATAATAATTTTTGTTTCAAGTGTGCCAACAAATTTGGAGCAGGACATCAAAGCAAAATGAAGCAGCTGCATCAGATGGCAGAAGACGAGGAGGAGGAAATTGAGTTTGCAGATGTCCAAGGGAAGCAAGATGAGGTTACTAGTAATATTGGAGTTGTGGTCGGCATGTCATTTCATACTTTGTCTTCTGGGCTCAAAAGAAAGACCATTACTCTACAACAGGTTATGAGAACTGTAGTAGTGAACGTATTGGTGGACACTGGAAGTTCTGATAGCTTTATCAGTCACAGCTTAGCAAAAGATTCTGATAACTAAGTTACTAAAAATTTGGTACGTAAGCTAATTGTACTCGGAGAGTAAGTGCATTCCACATGACAATTTGGGCTTTTATAGGAGTGTTGTGGCACATTAGGTAAATGTTGGAAACAAAATGTAAATATTGGAAGTCTAGGGAGAGGACAGATTCAATCAAAACAAAGCTTATTCACCATTTTGTTCCCCTGAGCTTTGGATTTGGAGGTACTCATACTTTACCACCTTAAACCTTAAAAATATGCACCTCACACCACCAGAAATCTAGTGAATATTTGAAATCTTACCTTTGTCAATGTTTGAAATCTTAACTTTGTCAAGAAAATTGAGTGTTATGACAATATTGCTCTTTTGTTGATGACACTATATATAGTTTACTATTAATGCCCTTTTACTGGTGGAGAAAGTGATTTTTTTATTTAATCTCTATTTATTCTCCTCTAAGTCTAGATGTAATATATATTAGTCCTTATTAAAAATTTAGTTAAGTAATTCATAGTTGACTAATCTGACAAACAAAATATAACAAAAATATTCTTCTAACAATTTACATAAACTAAAAGAATAAAATATTACGCTGTTAAGTAGTAACAAGCTTAATATTAAAGCATGATTTCAAAATTTTGCCAACTTTATTTTTTGTTACTATATTATTTTTTATTACTACATTATTATTATTACTATTAGATTTAAAGTCCAATAAATTGAAAACAATGTATAAGATAAAAGAACATTAATTCAACATGAATTTGAAAAGACTTTAAGGATATTAAATTGAAAAAGCTTTTTTTGGTTTTATTAATTTGATTTTTTGTATATTAGATACTATAGAGAAGATATAAAGTTCGGATCCAAACAAAATGGCAATAATGATAAATTATTAATCATTTCAGAAATGAAAGGGCATTAACATTCTTACACTCACTTTTTTCCTTATGACGTTAATATTTATATCTTTGACTAGTTTTCAAGGGGCCAAGCATACAATTTTAAGGCTCGTAATAGTAAAGTCAAAAGTGTGCCTACCCCCAAAGTTTAGTAGAGTAGAGTGTGACTGACATGGAGCAAATTGAAAAGCATGTACTTGTTAATGGGGCAATTCACAATAAAACCTTATATTTATGCGAATACTTACCTCTAGGATATCACCAACGTTGACTATAAAAGCATTAGGAAGTGGAATAACAGGAACCCAAGCTTCATTTTCCTTGATTTGGAGACCTTGTACATCGTTGATTTGAAGTAAAATGGCGGGTTAACAGGATCAGAGTGATGGCATAGGCCTGTGACCAGCTCAAGTTGAGGACATGGAGGATGGTAAGTGAGCCTCATGGATTGTAACTAGGGCTGCAAATGAGCCGAGTCGAGTCGAGTTTTGGGCTAATCGAGCCGAATTTCGACTAAATTTTATCAAGCTCGAACTCGACAAGCCGGCAATTTAAAGCTCAAGTTCGATTCGAATCAATTCGAACCGAGCTCGAGCTCGAAAAAAATAAAAATAATTATTTTTTTTTTAAAAAATAAATAAAATAATATTTTTTCTTAATAATATTATAAAATATTAAGGATATATATGTAATTTTACTATTAAAATAAGAAAATAAAAAAATTTAAATATACACTTAAAATAAAAGAAATACTTAAAATAAAAAAATAAAAAATATTATATATATACTCGAACTCGCCAGCCGGCTCGTGAGCTAACGAACTTAATATTTCGAACTCGAGTTCCAGCTCGATTTCAACTCGAGCCAGCTCGAGCTGGATATTGATCGAGCTCGACTCGAGCTTGACTCGCGAGCGGCTCGATTCGTTTGCAGCCCTAATTGCAACCCTTCTTCTAAAAGGACTTCAATTTCTTCATGCTTCATTCCTAATGCTTTTGCTATTAGGTTGAGAATCTTCAAGGCAAGACTTTTGAGCTCTATAGAGTACTCTTGAAGACTTTCCCTATGCAGCAAAACCAAGAACATTTGAAGGAATATAAAGGTAACTAGCATAAATATCGGTTTAGTATCATAACAAAAGAAAAGAAAAGAAAATTTTGCGCACAAACTTCAATGTTAGTTTCATGTTTTGTAGTGTTATTGGATTGATTAACATGCAAATAAACTATAAGGAGAACTTAGCATACCTAAGTCTAAGTATAAATTTAGATGTATATTATAATGAACTTAAAATCATAACTAATTGTTTATTTTCAAATTGCACACTGAATCAAGATATTTCAATAAATTTGAGCTCATTGTAACCATTTGTCACAGTGAATTGGTGATTTTTTATTGTTCAACTTCATCTTTTATAATATCAGTAACATTTTGACCTAAAATATCTATCCTTCTTCTATCTTTCTTTTCTTTAGAAAAAAAACTATCTCTCCTCTCATGAGAGAGAGATCAGATTTTCTAATCTCTCTTCATGCGAGGAGCTCTCTCTATAGTTTCTTTTCATTTATGTGAATAAAATATTTCTTAAGATTTTCTAATGAGAGTTTCTTCTGAGAGGGCATAATTTGTTATTAATTTTATGGTTAATTTTCCTCTTTGTCCTTGCCAAATATTGTTTTAATTGTTGAAATATACTTATATTTGGTATTTGGACCTAATTACAGGAAGTGGAGCAGAAAAGTACTAAAAAGGGTGACTTTCTTGAGAAAATGCCGTGCACGTGGGAAGCCTTGAGAATCCTTGCAAATCCGGCTCCAAGATGTGCTAAACCAATTCCTTTCCTTTCGTGACTAGTAGTTTACTAGCATTAGGAAACAAGAAAGAAAGAAACTTCAGTAGTTGTTTATCTCTTTGTTTTCCTTATTCGGTGGAAAAACCAACGAGATGAGGGACTAGTCATTGTTTGGATTAGGGAGATTCTTCTATTATTTGTCTTCGCCCCAAGGCCGCAAGACAGGAGATAATTCCTTCTTCGTGCCTTTACTCTTCTTGCGTGAAACATATTAGATTGTTTTAATAACAAAGTTTGATATTCATGAATTCTACTAATTCGCGTGAAAATTTCTCTATGAGGCGTGGCTAAGTTCGTCATCTAGTTGAAGGTCAGCTTGAAGACTCGATTCCAAACATCTATGAGATCAAATTATTTTACTTATTTCTTTTATTCATTGGTATTTGTACGTTTTCCAGCTTAACTTCTTATGATTGTTTTGTTATTTGAATGTCAAGGGCTCGATATTCAAATTAACCTAATAATCTACTGCCAGATTAATTGATTGGATCCGTAATTGTTCAATTGATTAATACCAGTGGCAACTAGCGTGATTGGTTCCATATTAGGAAACGCATGATCTAATTTAAACAAACCCTCGTAGCGTGTTTGTTAGTTAGGGTTGGGCTTTTCTAATTCTTAATGCAATCTAGAAATTAAATCCTACGGTCGTACCTAGGGTTATTTTTTGGTTAGAGAAATAGTTAACAGTCGTACCTTAACTATCGAAAAAGTAAGGAAAGGCTGGTTGTTTATCGCTTGTATGACAACTATAACCAATCTATTAATGAGTAATTGAATTATCTTTGGATCGATGATCAGTTGAATGAACCGTATTTGAAAAGTTGCACCTTTAGTTAGAGTCGTATTGGTTATTTATTAATTCTTGTTTATTTCTATTAGTTGTTTCATTAGTTGGTTAATTAGTTATTTTATATTCTCTAAAAAACCCATATTTCGGACTCTGGAAGAAACGAATTATCTCCAGTCCCTGTGGATTCGACCCTACTCACTGCTGTATACAAAATTTGTATTTTTCTTGAGTAGATAATTATTATTGCACAGGCTCGACACCTGTCAATTTTTGGCGCTGTTGCCGGGGACTGGGCCTGATTAATTTGTTTTTTTTGAGTTCATCTTATTTTTATTTCTATTTTTTTCTTTTATTTCTTTTTTCTACTAGTTTATGGCTGCTGACATTTCATATTTTGGTGATAACTAGATTTTATTCCTACGAAAGGAAATGAAGCTTGTGTTTTTTCTGATGATCAATATTCAGATTCACTAAGCTTTCTTATAGACAAAATGGCTGCTGCAACTTGTGGGATTTGTTATCACAGATCATTCAACTAGTATGTGCTCTGAATATCAAGATTACCTGAATGCCTATCTCAATAATTTTGGAGGTTTCTCACCTCAATCTCGAACGTGGCATGACCCTTATTCAAATGGGTATGATCAAAGATGGTGGGACAACTCCAACTTTAATTATGCACCAGACCCAATCGATTTTCAACATCAATATCAACAGCAACAGCCATCATCAATGTCAGAATTGCTCTCATAGACTAATATCAACCTTGAACAAGATGAGAGTGCAATTATCCGGACAAATGACGTGGAACTGCAAGAGTTTCAAGAAAACGGATCTAAAGATGCAGTTGAAAAGGAAGTTGAAGTGCAAGAAACGAAACCCCAATATCAACTCATCCAAGTGAATGAATCCTGTGAACAATCTCCAAATGCGGTGATATTTTCTCCATTTCTTAATCAATATTCTTCTGACTCTTATTCTTCAATTTTTGTTAGTGAGATTGACTTTATTATACCAGAAAATTTGAATTTCATGATAGGAATAAGTTAAGAGTGGCGATGACAAAATATCTTGGACCAGTAAATGCGCGTGATGGAGGAATGGGTGGAGAATTCTAATTATTGTTGACTTGTTTGGCGCCATCTACTAGTCCATGGAAGACCGTAGCTCGTGTGCTCAAGAATTACTCTATTTACGAGGGTTATCAGGATTACATAGAGAATGAAGCACTAAAACGAGCCACAAGATTTTATCCTCCCTGAACAAACATGACAATGTCTAGCCAAAGACGTTAAAAGAAAGGCGCTTTTTGGGAGGCAACCCAAATACTGGTTTTGTTATTTTTTTCGTTGTTCATTGCTTTAAATTTGTCATTTCTCACTTGGGTACTAGTTAATCTTGATATTTTCCTCCACTATGACCAGGACAGGTAATCTTGGCATGTCCATGCAAGGAGGGCACGCGTTAATCTTGCAAGCCTCAATCTCATGGTCAGGAGGCTTTTGCAAAACATAGGGTGCCCATGCCATGTTGATAAAACCTCAACTGTTCGCAACACAAGTAGGTTAAGGAATCTTGGCGTGCCCACGCAAGGAGGGCATGCATTAATTTGCAAAAAAGTCACCCCAGGATCAGATTACTTTTCCAAATCTTGGAATGCCCACGCGAGGAGAGCACGCGTTAAATTGCGAAAAGCGATTTCCAAGTTCAGATTACTTTTCCCTATCTTGGCATGCCCACACCTAACACAGTGGTTCTAAAAAAAAAATTCTCTTCTTTTTCTTTCCTTTTCCTTTTCTTTTTCCATTTTCTTTCTCTTTTCTTTTTTTTTCCTTCTTTCTTCCATCCTTCTCCATTCGAAACTCCACCACTGCCAACCATCAACTTACGTCGAGCTCCACAATCATTTGGCCCTCACCCGTAGCTGTCCACGGCCTCTACAATTATCAGGGAAGTTTCGTTGTCCCTTTTGTTTCGTATTCTATTCTTTATCTCTTACATTGGGATAATGTAAGATTTAGGGTGGGGGGAGTAGTATATTGATAATATACTGGAAAAGTGCAAGTGTAGGCATTTTTGTTGGAATTTTTTGTTTTGATTTTGTCAAATTTTATCCAATTTTTGCCTATTTTTATGCATACTTGTGAGTGTTTCAGATAAACGATGGTTAGATGTCTCAAATTTTTCTATTGCTAAGATTTTATACGCTAAGGTGTTAAGTATGGCACGATTAAGTTTAAGGGTATCTCTTTGATGAATATTTGAGATTTTGTGACTTTTGCACTTTTTGGTTAATTTCTCTAAGTATTGTAAAATTGTTTGTAGCATTTTTATGCAAATTGGTTCAACTATTAATCTTAGTTCTCCATATTTAAGAAATGAAGGCTTGTGTGATCTTTAATTTTATTTTTGATGCATATTTGAATCATGTTTGGCTATACTCCGCTAGTATCGTTACCTAGTAACAGGAGTTCTTCACCATGAATGTCGATTTTCATGTCAAAAAGTGACAATGACTATGCGTATGTGGTTTTTATGCGATGATGACTGAGTAACTGGGCTCCTTCATTTGCCCAATGTCGGAGTCCGCTTCAAAACGCTTAAATGGCTAAAGACTAAGCATTTCCCTGAAAAAAAAATCAATCAAGTGTGGAATATTTTAGAAAAAAAATGTGTCAATAGTAAAAAATGTGGAAGTGTTTGAATGGATTGTTAGCCTGCTGATTCATGAATTTTAATGTTGAGATTTTGCTTAATAGTCAAACCATTTGCTTACGAATGTTAGTTGAATATTTTATATTCTTAGATTAGTTAGTCGAAAATTGGAAAGGTCTTTGATTTTGAAAGATAACCGGAGAGATGTTTCTTGAAACTTAATCACTAATACTTGGCATATGTTTTAATTGTATCTTGACAATAGAAGATTTGAGCAATAGCCATTGTTTGAATTTGATTGTTTGATTTGTTGTTCTCATGCTTGAGGACAAGCATGGTTTAGGTGTAGGGAGAATTGAAAGGGTATAATTTGTTATTAATTTTATGGTTAATTTTCCACTTTGTCCTTGCCAAATATTATTTTAATTGATGAAATATACTTATATTTGGTATTTGGACCTAATTACAAGAAGTGGCACAGAAAAATACTAAAAAGTGTGACTTTCTTGAGAAAATGCCGTGCACGTGGGAAGCCTCGAGAATCCTTGCAAATCCGGCTCCAAGATGTGCTAAGCCAATACTTTCCTTTCGTGACTAGAGTTTACTAGCATTAGGAAACAAGAAAGAAGGAAACTTCAGTAATTGCCTTATCTCTTTGTTTTCCTTATTCGGTGGAAAAACCAACGAGATGAGGGACTAGTCATTGTTTAGATTAGGGAGATTCTTCTATTATTCGTCTTAGTCCCGAGGCCGCAAGACAGGAGATAATTCCTTTTCGTGCCTTTACTCTTCTTGCGTGAAACATATTAGATTGTTTTAAGAACAAAGTTTGATATTCATGAATTCTACTAATTCGCGTGAAAATTTCTCTATGAGGCGTGGCTAAGTTCGTCATCTAGTTGAAGGTCAACTTGAAGACTCGATTCCAAACATCTGTGAGATCGAATTATTTTATTTATTTCTTTTATTCATTGGTGTTTGTACGTTTTCTAGTTTAACTTCTTATGATTGTCTTGTTATTTGAATGTCAAGGGCCTGATATTCAAATTGACCTAATAATCTACTGCCAGATTAATTGATTGAATCCGTAATTGTTCAATTGATTAATACCAGTGGCGACTAGCGTGATTGGTTCCATGTTAGGAAAACATATGATCTAATTTAAACAAACCCTCGTAGCGTGTTTGTTAGTTAGGGTTGGATTTTTCTAATTCTTAATGCAATCTATAAATTAAATCCTACGGTTATACCTATAGTTATTTTTTGGTTAGAGAAATAGTTAACGGTCGTACCTTAGCTATCAAAAAAGTAAGGAAAGGCTGGTTGTTTATCGCGTGTATGACAACTATAACCAATCTATTAATGAGTAATTGAATTATCTTTGCATCGATGATCAATTGAATGAACCGTTTCTAAAAAATTGCACATTTGGTTAGAGTCGTATTGGTTATTAATTAATTCTTATTTATTTTCTATTAGTCGTTTCATTAGTTAGTTAATTAGATATTTTATATTCTCCAAAAATTCCCCGTACTTCGGACACTGGAAAAACAAATTATCCCCAATCCCTGTGGATTCGACCCTACTCACCGCTATATACAAATGTATATTTTTCTTGAGTAGATAATTATTATTGTACAAGCTCGACACCTGTCATCTTCTCTCCTTAAAGTTGTCTAGTGAGAGTTTTCTTCTCTCCTAAATTTTTTAGTGGAGTTTCATTCTCTCCTAAGGATTCCTAGTGAGAGTTTTTGATAATTTTTTCATTTTCTTTTATTACATTTGAGTTTTTCAGATTTTGATTATTAGATCTGGAATTTCTTAGATATATTCAGTAGATCTCACTATAATATATGGACTTGAAGCCGTTAATCAGCAGATTTGACGATTACAAGCATGCATAGATATCCATATATGGAGCTACAATTATTTTATCTTATTTTTTAAATTTAGAGCTTTATAATGTAATTTTTATTGTTCATCTTATCTGTAGTATCCTTTCTTCAGATCTGTTATTTGATATCTATATATATTTGATGATATAATTTCTACCATTAGTATAAATTTTAATGAAAATATGATATTTTATTTAAAAAAATCATCTTTGATCAAAACACAAACGGAAATTCTTGGCAGGTCATTATTTTTCTCAATCTCACAAAATGTGAAAAAGAGAGCTTCTTAAGCCTTAGTGGACTTACTAGCATATGTACAATAGGTTAATGTTTTGAATTATTCATATTATTGTTCTAAATATATTTTTCTCCTTTTATTTGGTTTGGAAGATAGTGGATGGAGGGCGGCAGGGTAATTAATTTCTCATTGGCATTTCAGCTTATTTTTTTGCTTGACCTTTCGTCATCATGTATTCAGCCATTTCTGGATCTTTATACTTCCCTAAACTTAAATCTGAAATGTTAACTTTAAAAATTATCACATCAACATATTCTTTTATTCTATCTTTCTCAGTAGATAACTTTACAGAAAAATCAACTTTACCTACTAAAAAATCTCACCTATCTGATGCATTAGCGTTCAAATTTAGATAGACGTGAAAACGTCAAATTAAATGGTATCATTGAATTGCTTCAATCAAAACCATCTGGCAAAGTGCATCAGTGGCCATTAAATTTTCGTGAATGTCTTTTTGGCCATCCAACATAATTCTTTTTTCATTCAAGAAAGTTCAGTAACTAGTAGTACAGTTTGGCTAAAATTTTAGCATGCTATGTATGTTAGTTCATGTCAAAAACAGTTTTTATCCTAAAACTGCATGGTTTAAGAATTACAAGACTAAAGATAGCACACTTGATTTAAATTCCCCGTTTTGTGTGTGTTGTGCATGGTTGGTCAAATATACCTTTGAGGAAGAGGCAGCTTAGGGAATAAATGAGGTTTTCTTAAATCTTCTGGTTGAGTGATCATGTATAACATGTCAGCCCAGTCAAGCTTTTGCTCCTCTGATTTGACAAAGGCCTGCCCATATCCTTCTACATCTCCTGGTTCTTGACCATATTTGTTCTTTTCAGCCATCGGCAGATTGAAAAAATCTTGAACTTCTGATTTCAATTTCTCCACCAATGAAGAGTTAACTCCATGATTAATCAGCTGTTGACAGTTATTCTCATAAGTAATAGCGTCTGGATGGAACAGCACATAAGCATATGTTTACTTTCAACTGATTTGCACTCGTAAAATTGAGGTAAAAGATGATTAAGTCATCAACGGATTCATTTTTCATAGGACTTTGATTTCATTTGAAGATGGTTTCTTTTTTTTTCGATACAAAAAAAAAAAGTGGGATGGTCTCAAACCTTGAAAAAGGTAACCATAGAGCCTTGGTCAAGTGGCCACCAAGGGGAATTTAAAGTTCCTTTCTAGAATGTTGGTTAGGGTTCAAACTTTACACAAAATCGACGGTTCAAACATTGAAATAGCAACACTTGATAATTTAGTTTTGTAAAAAAGTTGTATAATCAAACTATTTCAAACATACAATAGCTTGTCACACAAATATATGTTTGACATACATTCAATCCTTGTATATATACCTGGAAAACCCCCTCCTTGCAAGCAGAATGCAGCTTCTAAAGCTCCAAATCACTTACCTCCATAGCAAAACTAAACAGGCATTGCATATCCACAACTGGTATTTGGTGGAAAGAACCACCGTTAGAGATGGTTGGACATTGGTCTTTGTCGGGGCGCATGTAACGAGTTGGAACCATGTTCAAAGTCGCGGTCGCGGTCCGGAACGTTTTATATCGGTCTCGACATATCGGTTCGCGGTCTCGGTGAGACACAAATTTTAAAGCATTTAATATTCTTAAAATTGTTAATAATATAAAAAAAGTATGCTAAACAAAAATAATAAAAAATAGCAAAAAAAACGGCCGAGTCAATCCGTCGCGGTGATGTCTCGGCCAATTTCTCGCTAGTCAAGTAACTCGATATCGTTTCATCACGGTATCGTATCGGTAGGGGCCGAAAAGGTGACGACTCGGCCGAGACTTCGAACCATTGTTGGAACAGAAGAGGGATTTTCCTTAGCCAACTCTTGGACAAAAGGAACTTTCTGAGATCCCCCAAGCTTTCTTGTCTTGGGATCCATGATTGTGGTTATTTTCAACTTCAAAGTTCTAATTCTTGTATCTATCCACTGAATCCCTAGTTCAGAATATATTGTTTTTTTCGCACCAGATGTTTCATTAATCCAACATTGTTTATTATTAGTCGAAATGCAAGGTGCTAGGTTTGGATAATATAAGAATTTCTATACAGAACTAGTTGTAGGCTTGACAATGATGTCTCACCTAAAGAGCTGCTATTATAATTAATTTCATCCATATTCGACCTAAATGCAGTGTTTCAAAGGTAACCCATGGAACCATATAGTACAAATTAAACCTTGTCATATCTCTTAGGCCTACAAATTACGTTGATTTGGTAGACCCATTGATAATTACCTCCTCCTTGGTCACATTAAAAAAAAAGCAAGTTTTATTGCTTCGAAATTTTAAAATTGACTTATGATTAAGGGTCTATCAGCTACTGTCTTCAAAAATGGTTCATCACCTGCACTTCATGATGGTATCCAAATTTTAGATTATCCTCAAATATTTATTGAAATTATACTAGGCTGTGACAGAGCATATCATCAACTTTCGGATCTCCCTACTCAAGCCCAAGGGGCATTTAAACTAGACAAATGTGGTCTCCCTTCCCTTAGAAAATGCTAGGGTATGCATTGTACTCCTAGGAGGTAAGGTCGATGTCCCCCTCCGTCTTTGTCTCTCTTCTTCAAGGAATAATATAAAACCTTCTTGATTAAAAAAAAATATTGAAATTATACTGGCCTAGCTACGTAGACGGAAGCATAACAATTACTTTGATTAAAAAAAACTGTATATATATATATATAACTTTTTATCATTAAATTTTATAAATTTTTTTGGAGGCAAAAGTTAACATTTATGCTTTCAAACCTTTAATGAGGGAAAACTAAAATTTCTAGGCTTTAGAGAGTGGGTGACTAAAGGAATGGCAATGACGTGGATATGAGGCTAGGAAACCCTCACCCGTCTCCCTCCTTGTGCTTTAAAAACTTCTCCTGGCTTTAGTGCTATCCCCCCACTACTCTTACCCCACCCCATCCGTCTACCCAACTAGGGTGCCCTGATGGGTGGTTCAAAATAAAATTTTATTTTTTATTTTGATCTTATGTTTTCATATATAATATTAACAAATAACTTTATAAATCAATCTTTTGGACTTTTAACTAATATTCAACATTACATTATGTTTAAAATCTACTTTAATCTTTTAAAAGCATTTCTCCGTATCTGTTAGCAAATCTAAACTAACAGTTGTTACTATTATTGTTACAAAATTATAAATAATATAATATGTACATAGATATTGGCAAATATAGCTGCATATTAATTAATTTGTTTAATTTATAGGCAAGGATGGCGTGGGGATAGGTAGTGTAGTTTATCCATCTTGTGTTTGTAGCTAGATTTGGATGAAGATTGAGGAGCAAAGATGGAGAGGTTGACCTCATGTGACAAGGGTGATATCTCTTCTACTACTTTCTCTCTTGTATTAGATTTCATGTTTAGCTATAATACAAGTTTGGATTTGTGTTTTTAACATGTTTAGTTAAAGTTTATGCCTAGAGTTATGGTTGAACTTGCTATATCTTGTTTTTTATGTTTACTTGGTTATTTGATGGTATTATTTTGAGCAAGTTATTTATCACTTTTGCTTTTCTAATCATGATTAACCGGCCATTAATTGTGATTATCTAAAGGTGTTAAGATTGCAATGAGAATTGGAATTTAACACTAGTTCAAGGAAGTGATAAACCTAGGGTGTACACTCACGAGAGTAGAGGTGCACCTATGTGGCTTTAGTGACTTGTTCATGTAATTTCATAGAAGAAATGAACTTGTAGTTAATTTCATAACGACAAGAGTAGGTATGATTTAGCTACAAGTATAGTTGATTCACTACGAGAGTAGGTTTCACATATATTAGGAAATTACGCCATAACTAGCCAAGATAATAGCATTCACTTAACCAGTAATCTCATTTGCAAGAGTAGTAAGGAATTCCATATCTCTAGGAGCTTTCTAGTGCTAATTTTGATTTCTTTATGTTTATGGTAGTCTAGATAATAAAGGAGTTCGAAAAACACCAGTAATTGCAATCTTCTCTGTGGGATCGACCCTTAATACCCTATACTCGCTCACGATTCGTATACTTGCGATAAATCGCGTGTGGGTATTTAGGAATTATAAATGTAAAACTTGATTGTGGATGATCTAATTGATATATGTATACCCCGCGCACGTCAAGTTTTTGGCGCCGCTGCCGGGGAAGATTTGTCAATATCGGTGCTAAGAATAACTTTATTAATTTAGACATTTTTACTTATTTTTCTTGTGTTTGTAGTGTCTAGTGTCTTAATTTTATTTTTTTTAGTGTCTTTGTTGAGTCTTTGTATATGTTTTTATGTGTTTAGAGTCATCTATTCTTCTTGACTAAATTTGTTTTTAAGTTATTTTGAAAACATGTTTAGGGGTTCAAGGAGAGTAGAAAATATGAGGAATCAATGCATGAGAGAAGGAAGATCGACAATGGATGGTTACTATATGCAAAGCTCCTTGAATCGAGGTAACCAAGAAATTATCGAAAGTATATCGTTTGAAGATGGTTTAAGGAGTTTAAAGGTTAAACTTGATGTTATAATGTTACAAGTTCAAATGGATACCATGATGCATAAAATTGAGCAAAGGAGGAATGTTAATGCTTTTAATTATTATCATGTGATTTGTGACTTGTGTGGAGGTTATCATGCTACTAGTACATGCATGCAAGCACAAAATGTGGATTATTATGATGAATTAGAGCATTGCAATCCTTGTTTTAATCAATACAGTGCTAATTGGAGCAATTCTCATGTGTATGGTTGGGATAATCAATGTGCATATAGTGATTCTCCAAATTTTTATGATTACCAACCTCAAAGTGTCCAATATGAATCAAAACCATCTTGGGAGTTGGCAATAGAGAAGTTAGCTAATGCACCTCTACCTTGGGAATTAGAAAGTGAACCATTAGCTAATTGTTCTTATGCCTCTTGGGAGCTAGCTGTAGAAAATTCTTATAATCAATTTGATTTAGCCATAGAAAAGCTAGCAAATGCAACCTCTGACCGTTTTGATAGGATTGAGGAAAGGTTAGATGAATTAGCTTCTCACTTTGGTAGAATATAAGACCAAGTGCATGAGTTGTGTGAAGTTATTTCTTCTAATGATGTGCAAGTTGACCCTAGCATGAATGGTGAGCATGTTGCAAGTGAAAATGGATTGCATTTTGATGAAAATGATGAATCTAATTGTGTTTTAATGAGAAAATATCCATTTCACATAATAGTACCTTTGGAGCTAACATTGAACCTCAAGAGGTGAGCCTTAGCGACTCATTTTTCACCCCTCTTAAGGAATGTGTTGAGAGTATAGGTTTTAAAGGTATTATTCCCCAAGAAAGCCACTCGGACGTTCCTTTGGTGAGTACTCAAGTGATGCGCATTCAAGGTAATATCTACGACTCACTTGAGTTGGTAAGCCACTTCCATCTCTCTTATCATTAGAACATGTGGCTTTCGCTATAAAGCCACCTTATAATGATCCACCCCAACCTCTAATGGTGGATTATTCATTAACTAAACCTCCTTGAGAAATGAGGTGATATAGTCAAGCTAATGACTATAAAGAAGCGCTTGTTGGGAGGCAACCTAACAATTTCTAGTTTTTTAGTTTTAGTAATTTGATTAGTATTTTTGTGTGTTTTATAGGTAGCAATGACAAGAAATCATGCGAAATCATTTCAAGTGCAAAGGAGTTTATAAGGAGTGGAGACCGATGTGAAAAAGGGAAGCTTAACCTTCATTTTTGAGTTTACAATGCTTAATTTCATGTTATGTGGTTAAATTAGTCATTTGCATGAAGTTGAAGTGAATTCAAGTGTTTAAATGTGTTCATGACCTATTTGCACTCTTTTGACCATTTGAGCATTACCATGTGCATTGGAAGTGTCAAGGAGAACTATTTGATCCAAGAACCTCAACCCTCAATTTGCATTCTACATGTTTTTTATTTGTTTTGAGATGTTGAGATTCATGTTTAAGTCACTTTTCATGTGTGTGAAGTGTTAAATTGTTAAAAATTTCATTGTAGAACACGAATTGGAGAGTGTGTTTCAAATTGGGACCAAACTGAAAATTGCAGAAACTTCTGCAATAAGTGCAGATTCAATGGATCCGAAGCCTCGGATCCACTTCTGCAATCAGAAAAAATTCGAGCTTCTTGATCCGAGCTCACTTATCATGATCCGACCTCGGATCCTTTCCAAAACGAAGCCTCAGACCACTTTTCCTCATTCTTCCCTCTTTTTCCTCCTTCAACTCCACTTTTCTTCTTGTTGGTTGCAAGCTTTTATTCTTAAGAAGTTTTATTTTTGTCTTTTTCAAGGTGCATTAATTGAACTCTCCATTCTTTCAAGTAAAGTTGGAAATTCATCACATTGCCATGGATTCGAATCGCGCAAGTTCATTAGGGGAGTATTACTTTCTCTTACTTTCGCTATTTTTCCTTTCTTACATTGAGGACAATGTGAAGTTTAAGTGTGGGGGAGGAAAATATTTGAACTTGCACTTTAATGG